CCACCCCCACCGAAAACCGACAGCGGCATGAATGTGCGGGAGCTCTGTGCAGCCAAGGTCAGCCTGGCTCAATCAACGAATGGTAGATGAGGGGGCTGAATTGTGTATGTATGTGTCTGGTGTTGGCGGGTGAATGGACGTGTCTCTGCAGGTTGTCGACGATGAGGAGAAAGGCGGGCCGTACCGGTGGAGGAAGGTCGATCCTAGCAGGATACTCTCCTACACGGGGTGCGAGAATGCCCTCCAGTCCGAGTACAGCATGCCGCCACCCCCACTCCTCCCGCCGCCGCCTCCCCCGCCCCCCGCGTGTCAACGTCTGTACAACTCGCACATGTCTGAAGAAGAGGTGAGTGAGGTCAATCCACCCGGGCCCCACTGAAATACATAGATAGAAGGGCCGGCAAGAATGAATGGCGTGCGTGTCTCCGTGTGTATGTCTCCCTTTCTGCAGGAGTCAGCGTTGGTCGATTTGATATTCCATACAGGGCAGGGCGTCCAGATCAAGGAACACAACAGCGTAAGTCAATACGCTGCTTCGTAGCTCATGCATCTTCTCAGTCATTGGCTGACTGTTATTTCTTTCATCCCATCAGATCTTCGCCAGAGACGCTGACGGCAATCGCATTCCTAAGCTGCCGTCGTCGCCAGCCGGCCACAAACATCTCCCCATCAACCCACCCGCACCTCCTGCGCAACGCCTGCTGAGCCTCAGTGGCTGGCGGAGCTCAAGGCCCGCGCAAAGGCTGCCAAGGCCGCCAAAAACGGGAAGCCGGCGCCGTTCAAACTTGCGCCATTCTCGGGCGCCGTGCCCATCTCCAATCCCACCGCCCTCCCCATACAGCCCCAGCCCAACAAGGTGTTCAAGAAGAAGCCCACAGGAAGCAGCCACAGCGGGAAGGGGCAGCCGTCGGTCCAGGGCAAGGGCAAGAACGAGGTGGTGGGAGGGAAGCAGACGAAGAAGGCCATCGCAAAGAAGACACTCGCAGGAGCCAGCCATGGCGGCGGGGAGGCGCAGCCATTGGTCAAGAGGAAGGCCGCCAAGGCCAAGGCAGGGGACACGAAGGAGGCCATCGCAGAGAAGAGAGTTACAGCCACGGTACGAAAGAAAGAGGATGAATGGATGACAGGATGACAGAGCCACGACAAGGACCATGGCGAGCTCTGTGTGTGTGTGTGTCTGTGCAGGCTACCGTTTGTGAGGTCAAGGGCAAGACGAAGGTGCAGGCCATGCGGGCCAAGGCCAAGGCCAAGGCCAAGAGTGGCGCCGGTAGGTTGATGCGACGACACTGGACGAATGACACGCCCACACAATTCTGACTACTCGGCGTGTTTGTTATTGTAGGTCGGGCTGCCAAGCCTAATGGCAAGGCTAAGGCCATAGTACCTGCCTCCGAAGCCAAAGGTATGTTACCAAAGATACACGTGACAGACAGACACATCAGTCCATCACTGTGTCTCCCATGTGCCCTGTTCAGTCAACGGCGGCAAGGAGGTCAAAAAGACAATCCAAAAGAAGACGCCCACCCCGGCACAGAGCCGCAAGGCCACCAGTGTGCCCAAGAACGCCGCATCCCCAGCTTCCCCAGCAGCGGTAGGCCCTCTCCAGGCCCCCAGTGTGCCCAAGAAACCACGCACCAAGACGAACAAGGGCGGCGGCAGGAAGAAGGGCAAGCCGCCGCCGCCGCCGCCGCAGCAGCAGCAGCAGCTGGCGAACGCGGGGCAGGTGACGAAGCCGATCACCAAGCAGCCCAAGAAGAAGGCCAACCCACCCAAGAAGCCCAGCAAGGGCGCCAAGGCCAAGCCAGCCCCGCCCCCGCCCTCCGCCTCGGCACCACCCCAGCCACAGCAGACGGGCAAGAAGAGGAAGGCGGGAACACAGCCGCACGAGGAGGACGACAGAGGAGGCAAGGCGGTGAAAGAGGGGGTCATGACGCGCGCAATGTGCCGGCGTCAGGCCGCCTCCTCTTCCAGCCCGCAGTGAGGGGGGGCTGGACCGGCTGGTCTCTCAAGGGGCGCGTGTGCGGCCAATATATAGCCTTTAAGCTGTGGTCGCCGCGTGACCCTGGGATGTGCCACCCTTGGCTCGGGCGAATGAGTGTGTCTGGGTGTGAAGGTTTGTCTTGTCTGTCTGTCTGGTTGGCGTTTGTTCTTTTTGGGCGGTGAGAAGAGAGTCTCCAGGGCGTACTGCTGTCTGTCTCTGCAGTCAGTAAAATGCCCGGGGTGTGAGAGAGGGAGGCGGCAGCAAGCCGTTTTGGCAGTTAACACACAAAAGACAGATAGATAAATGGGGGGTACTTCTAGCTAGCTCTTAGCATGAAGGGCTCCCCGTTCTCTCACTCACTGAGGAGGAGGAAGAATGTCTCTCTGACTCACTGACTGCAGGCCTTTTGTGTCTGCATGCCCGTTGTCTGGCTGGCTGTCGGGCTGTCCGTTTTCCCGGCGTGTGTGCTGATTGGAGGAGCGTTAGTTGTGGCTGGCTGGTTGGCTGTATATATCGCTGGTTTTGTTTTTGACGGCGATGAACTTCCAGCGGAGAGAGATACATAAATGGGCGGAGAGACAGAGAGATAGAGCGAAACGTAGCTGCAGTTAACGGATGTGATATGGATGGATACGAACGCGACTGATAGACCAACGCATATATCTTACTCTCTTCTTTCTTTCTTTCTTTCTTTCTGTGTGTGTGTGTGTGTGATGGGAAGACGCGGTAAGTACCATGTGATGGAACAAAAAGTGCTCTAGCTGCAGTCTGAGCGTCCCAATAATTTGTCCACACACGCCCAGTGAGTGCACCCAGTCAGTCAGTCAGCACAAAATGCATCCAATGCAGGCATGCCATCTATTATTCACACCCATCATCAGATCAACAGATCAACAACACGAAGCGACGTCATGCTATCTGACAGTTCTGCATGCGCCGCGCCTTGCTATGTATGATCATCACCTGTCGTCATGACAACAGACACACGCAATGCAGGTCGACACGTTGATGAGGGCGATGGATGGCCATCTGAGTGGCTGTCCCATTGTATTCCCCTGCAATGCGTACCTTCGCTGCCCACTGGGCTGCCGTCGTCCATATCGCCATCGCCATTGTCACTGCTGCCGTCTACATCACTCAGACAGAGACACACAGACAAGACACCCCATACACGTGTTCCCTCCCCTCTGGTCAGTCAGAGCGTACCATTGTCACCATCGTCACTGTCGTCATCGTCGCTGTCATCGTCGCTGTCGTCTATCCAGTCAAAGACGATGGGCGCCACCGCATCGCCCAGCGCCTCCCGCGCCAGCGCGGCGGTCGCGGGGGAGGCGTACTTGAACACACACCGTGGCCCCCATGGGCACACACAGTGCTGCTGAGACGTGCAGGGGAAGGGGCGGCCGCTGATATCCACGCGTGGCTCGGTGGTGAAGATGTCCATTCCAAACACTGCAGAGAGGAGAATAAGACAGAGAAAGCACATTTGCCTGTCCATCTCTTCGGCTTTATCCTATGTCATCGCGGCTGACTTGGTTCGTCCCGAATGCCGTCCGAAGGTTGCAGTAGCACGAGCATTATTTCCGCCACGAAGGGGTGGCTGCTGTCCGTGAGCACCAGCCTTCGCCCCATAGAGCCACGTATATCGGCGCACATGGTCGTCGAGCACCCTATAGCTGGTGTGTGAGGCGACCCGGTCATCAGGGCAGTCAGACGGCCACCGCCTTCGCCACGCCTGCGCCAACCAACGACACGTACATCGAGTACGTGTGTCCTCCAGAGTGACTGATGTGTTCCGTGCATCATACCTATGTCAGCATCAGACATCGCCCTGTTGACGTCATTTGGTGTCGATAGGAAATTGCCAATCTCCCGCTCCTCATCCGGACGACTCAGATCGTGGTAGTTAAGGATTTTGTCTTTGGCGAGCTGCGACACAGACGCGTGACTGATCTCAATATCATCATCCTCCGCTTCCCATCCTTCAGGAGGAAGGAAACAGTGAATGCGGCTGCTGGCTGGCGGGTCGTGGTCCTGTCGGTGGCGTCGATACAGGTGGTCGGCAGGCAGGCCTAGTGGGTCAAGCGTCAGCTCGAAGCCAGGCTCGTCCTTGAGGGCCCGCAGCATGTCGCCATGCTGAAACAGCTGGAACGTCACGCCGTCGCCGAAGTTGGTGTGGCGGCCGACCATCTTGAGCTGAGCAATCACACGGGAACCGACACATACGCCTAAACAGACACACACACACACACACAGACATAGAGAGAAGGGTGGGGCACGCCAGAAGTGCGCCTTACGGACCGTTTTGTTGGCGTGTGTGTTGATGTCTTCGGCAGTCAGCACAACGGGCAGCGTGCAGGCTCCGCAGTGGTCGGCCAGCCGCAGCACGTCGCCAGTGCCATCGTTCCACTGCCCTCCCTCCTCAGCTATCCACAGGGCCGCCACCACAGTACCCCCGCACAGCGACTCGTTAAACTGCACCAGCTGAGTGTCGATGCCGCTGCGGGCGATCGAGGTGTGGAGTCGGCTTCGCAGCTGTGCAGACGACAAGGCCTCTGAGAAGCATCGCGCGGTGGCCCTCAGCTGCAGGATGGTGCTGAGGTCGAGCAGACAGGACTGGTCGTCGCCGACAAAGAGATGGGTGAGGGGGTGCTGCGGGTGGCCGGCTCTGGCTGATCGGACTCGGAGGAGCGTCGCCGCCAGCACCATGACGCCACACGACAGCAGATGCGCCACAACCACTGTGACACCACCAGCATCAGCCGACACACAACCGAGTGACAGCCCGCGAAGGCACGTACACACGAAAAACCAACGCAGCTTCGTCCCTGCGACACACGACACACGACCTTCGTCCTCTGTCGTTTTGTCCCGTCGTTTGTGTTTACACGTGCGAGCTGCGAGCTAGGAGGGAGTTGGAACTTTTACCCCGCTCCGACTCCCCGAGCCCCCCCTACGGCTGCGGGATATCCGCTGAGCCGCGAGTGGAACTATCAGCGAAATTGGCTGGCAAGCAATGGCGTCTGGAGGAGCCGCCGCTGGCGAGAGGGGAAGATGGTCGAGTCGTGCGGCCTTCCTGCTGACGGCGATGGGCGCCGCAATAGGCCTGGGAAACCTCTGGAGGTACCCGATGCCAGATCAGTCACGCCCAGGGCGTGTGACGTAACTCTGTCTGGTTGCGGTAACTGCTGTCAATGTCAGGTTTCCTTATCTGAGTTACAGCTACGGCGGCGGAGCCTTCTTTATTCCGTACCTCGGTAGGCGAGTGAGGCAGATGGGACCCTTGCATCGGTGACCTCCTGCCGAGAGAATGTTGGGTGGTGTGTGATCAGGTGCTCTTTTCTTGATTGGCATCCCCCTGCTGACCACTGAGCTGGCCCTGGGTGAGTGACGAAGTGAGCGCAGAACCATCAGCACACCGACAGCGAGTGACCATGTCTTCACGTGTGGTCATCTCTCTCAGGCCAAGTGTACGAAGGCGGCCACGCAGTCGCCTTCGGCATGCTCAGCAAGCGCTTCCTTGGCCTTGGCTACGGCTCAGCGTGGGCGTGCTTCATCGTGGCGGCCTACTACAACGTGCTGCTCGCTTACGCGTGCCTCTACTTCGTCGCGTCCTTCCAGAACCCGCTGCCCTGGGCCGCCACGGCCAAGACAGCGCAGCTCTGCAAAACGGCCGGCGCGAGTGCGGCGTCGTGTGCGGCTCTGGGGACCGAGTGCATGTGGGCGGATGGGGAGTGCTCTCAGGCGCTCATTGGAAAGGTCAGCGATTCACACAGGCAGCGCACAAGCCGGGTCCACCTTGGTGCACATAATCACACTGCTTCTCTCTCTCTCTCTCTCTCTGTGGATGTGCAGGCGAATGCGTATCTGTACGAGACGGTCCTGGAGCAGAGTGAAGTGAGCGGCGGGATTGGCTGGCTGGTTCCCCATATAGCTGTGGCTGCGTTGGTCGTGTGGTTGATCTGCTACCTCTCGATGTTCAAAGGGGCATCCCAGCTCGGCCGCGTGGCCTCCGCCTTTGTGGTGCTGCCCTTTGTGCTGCTGGCCGCCCTCATCATCACGGGACTGTCGCTGCCCGGCATGGAAATGGGCGTACATCAATACATAGGTACCTTTACGAAGACAATATGTCTGTCTGTTGTCTTCGTATCGATCACGTGTGTGGCAGGTCGTTGGGACTTGTCGATATTGTCGTCGCGGCCTCAGATCTGGTCGGATGCTGTTTCCCAGATCTTTTTCAGCGTGGGTTCCGTATGGGGCATGATGACGGCATATGCGTCATACAACAAGTGAGCGAGCAGAGTGGGATGGCTGCACAGTCGATTTGGTGGTGTTCTTATGTGTTTGCAGGAAGGGCCAGAACGTGGCGCAGGACGCGCTGATAGTGTCCCTGTCGAACTCTGCGTGCTCGATCCTCGCTGGACTCGCTGCTTTCTCAATATGCGGGTGCGTCGCTAACTCACCGGCGCGAACAGGCTACTTGTACCCACTTTCCATGTGTGTCGGTCCATCTATCTGCAGGCATCTCGCCTACGAGGCTGGCATTCCACTAAAAGAACTACCGACGGAATCGATGGGTCTGGCATTCGTCAGTTATCCGATCGGCCTGGCGCAGATTCCTGGATGGGGGGCCCGGCTGTTCAACGTCTTCTTCTTTGCCGTTCTCATTTGTCTGGGTGTTGCGTCAGCATTTTCTTTCGTGGAATGTCCGGCGACTGTTCTGCTGGTAAGTGACCGAGGGAGTGGGAGACGCACCCGCACGCAGCTATCGGGCCACCTCTCATGTATGTCGCGGTAGGACACGTCATGGTTCGGTCGGGTGCCTCGGTGGTTGATGGTGGGCATCTTGAGTGTGGTGGGGTACGGCCTGTCGCTCGTCTACTCGACGGACATCGGCTATCACCTCATCGACGCCAGCGACTGGTACGTCGCCAACGTCCTCGCCCTGTCATTGGGCTTCCTCGAGTCGGTGGCCGTCGGGTGGGCCGCGAGAATCGATGTGCAGGAAGGGCACATCGGCAAGAAAGGTATGTGCGGATCGAGATGAAGATGGCAGGCATGCATTGTGTGTGTGTTTGTGTTGTCAGCTCCATGGGTGTTGATGTGTGGGTTCGTGGGAAGCATCGCCGTCGCC